CACGATCCACCTTAACTGAAAAAGAAAAAACAATCGTCAGAAACATCTCGATCGCAAAGCTCCGCGGGCAAAATGAATATTTAAAAAAACTTCAGGATTGGCTCGATACGAACTTTGTGATCCATTTCGAAATCAAGGCTAAGGCCGAGAGGCTTTCATGAAATCGCCATTTGCGAAATTTCGTTATTTTAACATCGTTATACTCGTATTTGTTTAGTGGGCGCTCCGCGACTTTGAGCACGATTTTAATTAATCTGATTATCTGTCATTTACCAGTGAAATTTACATTTTATTGATTTTGAATTTACGCTGAGTGGCTGAGTATTAAATAAACAAGATAACTTCTCATGATGTGAATATCAGACACATTGAATCAGGTGCTGTTTAACGGTTGATGAAACAATGATTTTGAAAGCCATATTCCAGGAAAAATATTGCTAAGCGCTTACAAAATGTTGGCAGCATTGTTAAATTGTATTGTATCAGGAAATATGAGGCACAATGCGATCGTTGGAAGCAAAAAATGTAAATGTTCGCGTTAAGCCGCTCATTGTGGCGGAGCTTCCTGACGCCACCGAATTTAGGAGCCACGAGCCTTTGACTGCTGATCGCAGAAGAATATTCAAATTCTTTATAATGCAAATGCTTTTTTATATCAGAACGAGCTAACAGGTTTGTAGATCTGACCTCACTTTTGACTTGGAGTCACTTTATTATTTTGACTTATCAACATTATTTGTTAAAATATTGTGTAGACCCATTATTTATTATGCTTAAGTATAAACTATCTATAAATTATGTATTAAAGGCTTGCATTTGACTGCAATTACACCTGATGTTAAGTGAGATACAGTCTAGGATGTTACAACTGCCCTATAAGTGCCTATTCCCTCTCGCTTTGATAATTTATAGTATTATAATCAAACAACATAACTCGTAACTCCTTTAAATTAATGCCACTTTTCAACGAAGCTTATGATCTGTGACAGAAAATTCCCTATTCCGATGACAAAGCCTCATTCCCAAGGACTCCTTAACCTCCGCTCGTGTTACGTCACACGTACGGAACCGCCTTTGTCGGGAGGAGGCGGAGGCATCGGGTTCCAGGCGGATGCGAGCGCGTCCTAATTGAGCCAAATTGTAATGGATCCGCGGCTTCAAATTGATACTTTAGGGCACGGCGAAATTATTTTGCGTTATTTAGCGCAAATATTGAAGGTGAATGGGTTTGCTTTTCACGAGTGTTACATGTCAATGTTTATTTAATAAGTGACGCCTACATTGTATTGTTAAATGTGTCACAATTTATTTTGTACATTGATGATTTAATTGAATGATTTGAGTTGGACTCTCTACTATTAAAATTCTAAGTACATAGTCATTTAGTGCGTTAGTTCAAGCTAGTTAGGTATAGCCATTTAAATCTTATTGAGTTTTTAAACAACAATATTATTTCAATTTTTGGAGAGCGTTCTAAGGACTAAACGAAAATATGTCACTCATAATCTCTGACAACTTACAATTTCTAATTTATAAGAATTCCATAGAACTGCCTGGGGCAAGAACTAATCTTATTTGAAGATATGACTTCAAGGCTGAGTTGCACCACCTTATTTTAACCGTGACTATAACGGTAACCGCTGCTTTTTTATGGCATTTGACAGACTTTTGACGTTTGTCAAAGTTAAAGTAAGATGGTGCAACCCAGCCTAACTCTCAGTGTATAACTTTGACAAAGATTAAAAAATCACTATTTACTTTTAACTTTGTGTTGGTAACAACCTACAAATTAATGAAGTAATTAGCCATATTCCACTTACTAGCACATAATGTAATCAGAGCTCGTTTATGAAATTCATGAAAACTGTTCGCAACGTAGGTCAGGCAAGGGCGCGAGGGTGGAAAGTTACGAGTCCGTACATATTTAAACAGCCGTGTAATTTGGGGAACGGAGCAAACGCATGACTATTGTCAGCGATATTAAGAAGGTTGACTTTTATTTTAAGAAGCCATGCGAAAGCAAGGATAGAAGAAATTCGTTTTAGTTTGTCATACCTGCCTTTTATACTTTAATAGCTATCCGCCCGCGGCTTCGCCCGCGTGGAATTTTGTGTTTCATAGAAAAACTTTATCGCGCGCGTCCCTGTTTCAAAAACTGGGAAAACTATCCTATGTCTTTTCCCGAGACTCAAACTATCTCTATGCATAATTTCATCGAAATCGGTTCAGTGGTTTAGGCGTCAAAGCAAGACAGACAGACAGAGTTACTTTCGCATGTATAGATGGAAACAATGAAGCTTTTATCGACGATTAAAAACATTTCTTGACATTGTATTGTTATCTTGTAGCTCTTCAAGAACTAGCTTGTATTGTATTTTTATGCGATGTTTTTTCTATTTATGTACAAAATATTTATTAGTACTCCCTATTCGTAGCGTTGCGTCGTCGTCGTTCGTAGTCCGTAATCACTCCCTATTCGTAGCAGCTACGGCAAATGGCTACGAATTACATGTCGTAGCACTTAGATGAACTACGACGCTACGGCGAACTGTCGTAGACACTAGACGCCGCACGCTAATGACACTACGGCGTGAATATTATGACAATGACATACAATATGTCTGCGGCACTAATAACAATGTCATTACGAAGAGTAACGACCGCCACTATGATTTTAGTACTCGGGTCTTATCGCAGATGTAAAAGCGTGATTAAAATTTATATTGAGAACAAGATACTTGGCACAAAATGTTTAAATGTTTTACCTGACCCAAGAAAAGCTGTAGTATTTTTAACACTTATTACGCCATGTGACGTAGCAAGATAATTTCACATACCTATACCAATATGCTTACTTCATGAGCCGCCCGAATAAGAAACGAGCACAGACAATATTTTTGATTAGTGCAATCTGCAATACGGATTTTTTAAAATTAATATTTGATGAATAAAATCTTTAAAAGATTTTATCAATTACAATAGCCGAACTAAAAATTTAAGCCTCGCACTCAACGTGTGTTTGTGTCGTTATTAGGTTCCAAAGCAGTTCCCTAAATGGTTTCATTTAAGGCCGCCACCATTAGGGCCTCTCGAAATAGGTTCGCAGAACTGTACTGTTGGCTTCAGAAATTAATTTGATTACTAATTAGGACGCAAACATTGGCTAACGAGCGTGTTTGGAAAGTAAACTAATACAAAGTTTAGGTTGTGATATTTAAACACCTTTTATAATAAACATTTTTCAAATAGGTACTCATAAATGTACGTTACAGTTGTGAACACAAATTAATTTGAAATGACCTCTATCACATATTTTCTTTTAAAAATTCATCACGTTAAAAAATATTGAATCAACAAAGTTCAATTTACGCGTGGAAAACGTGGTGCCATTTGGTTGGACGAGATTGCGTTCCAAATATAATGAAGAATGTTCACTAATTTTGTTTTTTAGCTTTCTGTATTCTCTGTTAAAAATAAAAAATACACGTGAAAGAATTATTTCGATACGTCAATTAGTTTCCAAGATATTGAATTTTAAAAGTGCGGGCGGCGGCCGGCCCGCCATTTTATGCGCGTGACGTCATATTACAACGACTGGCTCATATTTGTATGGGTGGAATCTTGCAAACTGAATTAAGACCCACTTCCAGGCAACCGATTAAGCTGAAATTTCGCAAACACATGTGATTTGGATGACCATGCAATATTATGATGACATGGAGCTGATCTGATGATGGAGCTGGAAGGTGGCCATAGGAACTCTATAATAAAACGACTTAAATGCATCGAGTTTGGGCTCGTTCGTTTTGTATTGATGAGTATTTTAATTCTATATAGTAATCGGGGTCTAATGATGGAGCTGGAAGGTAATTCGCAATAAAACGACACAATCGCATCAAGTTTGGATTTGGTTCAATTTTAATTTCTGTGATGGGTCTGGGTGTTAATATGTATAATAAGTTTGTATTTACAAAAAAAAAATTATTGAAGTATGTTTATATCCGTTTTCTAGTGAGCGGACGCTGTGAATGTACGTCACACGGGGTCACGTGACCGTCGGCGGGACTCAATATTTAAGCGAACTTTGAATGCCTATAAAATCATAACTACTGGGTATTTTTGAATGAAATAAAAACTAATGTATTTGTAAATGTAAAAGCTTAACTGTAACATAGGTTTCAAGTGATTTTGCATACCTAGTAACATTCTCAATTATTTCACTTCTTAGAAATTTTTATTGTTATATTTCATACGAATATGTATGTATACCTACATGAAAATGGAATTCATCAGTACATAGGTACATGGATAAAAAAAAATATCCTGCGCTCTCTGAATTACTGTGAACTAATCAAATTGGTTCGTGAATTTCATGAGCATTAACAGCAGCAGCTAATCAGGCATAATAACATCCATCACGAATTCACGACTACATAAAAACAAATATTTGTAATTTTTCGACTTGAAAAAGCTCGAGCGAAAGCGGGGCGACGCGACGGCGAAAAGGAGTAGTAGTATTGCGATCGCCCCGGTCCGCCGCCCGTTTTGTGCTCGCCACCTTATACTGTCCATGTTGTTGTGTATCGCCGTCACTCCGCCGTCGCGTCACTCGGCCGTCACCAGTTTTGTGCCCGCAGACTTAGGGTGGGTTGCACCATCTTACTTTAACTGTGACAAACGTCAAAAATCTGTCAAACTCCATACAAAATACACTGGTAATCGTTATGATGACTGAGTTTGTTGCGGCGCTTCTTCTCAGCACTTGCCAAAAATATGTTGGTCTCGAAGCGCTGGTAGGGTAAAAAGATTATGAGACATGTAGAGGCTCCTTAAGAGCAAAATGACGATTTGTAAGAACTATTTATTAGTCTAAACAAATAAAGAAATTTTGACTTTTTTTTTTGAATAGTTACCGTTAAAGTTAGGTGGTGCAACTCAGCCTTAGTGTTTTCTTTACGAATTACCTCTTTTGTCGGCAGGCAAGCACCGCGTGATGGCGCATGGAGATCGCGCGGACGGCGTGGTGCGCGGCGCTGGTGCTCGCGGCGCTGGCGGCCGCCGGCCCGCGCTACAGCTCACGCATCGTGCACACACACGCCGGTGAGTCCCGCGCTACAGCTCACGCATCGTGCACACACACGCCGGTGAGTCCCGCGCTACAGCTCACGCATCGTGCACACACACGCCGGTGAGTCCCGCGCTACAGCTCACGCATCGTGCACACACACGCCGGTGAGTCCCGCGCTACAGCTCACGCATCGTGCACACACACGCCGGTGAGTCCCGCGCTACAGCTCACGCATCGTGCACACACACGCCGGTGAGTCCCGCGCTACAGCTCACGCATCGTGCACACACACGCCGGTGAGTCCCGCGCTATAGGTCCGACAGGCGAGCACACACACGCCGGTGAGTCCCGCGCTACAGCTCACGCATCGTGCACACACACACACACGCCGGTGAGTCCCGCGCTACAGCTCACGCATCGTGCACACACACGCCGGTGAGTCGATGGCTCATGGAACGCGCGTGATGGCGTATGGAATGCGTGTGATGGCGCATGGAGCGCGCGTGATATCGCATGGAGCGCGCGTGATATCGCATGGAGCGCGGATGATAGCGCATCGAGCGCGCGTGATATCGCATGGAGCGAGCGTGATAGCGCATGGAGCGCGCGTGATAGCGCATGGAGCGCGCGTGATAGCGCATGGAACGCGCGTAATATCGCATGGAGCACGCGTGATATCGCATGGAGCGCGGATGATAGCGCATCGAGCGCGCGTGATAGCGCATGAAGCGCGCGGATGGCGTGGTGCGCGGCGCTACTCACATATCATTACTGTCACACACGTGGTTGTAGTATTACTGTTACGTGTTTCTTCATGCCTCATAATGCGTAGGAAGTATTTATCGGGTTGGGCTACAGTTAACAAAACACTCTGGTGAGTAAGGAATGTCATTTCCACACAGAGTACAGACACAAGTTTGAAGCATCATTACAGTTACGAGTTAGTCACTTGCCTACTGCTTCGTGCGACAAGTTACGGGTACTCTGAACTCATAATATTATAAGTTCACTGAGCTAGTGAATGGAGTGTTTCCCATACATGACTATTGACTATGTATGCATTGCAAGAGCTTGCAGTTGAAGCATCATTACCAATGCCAGCGGTAATTAAAACAAATACTATCTGCATTTATTCCCAAGTCTCTGATCTCCGACATAGGCACCATCGTACCCGTATACGATTTAGAGTTGGTACGTGCCCTGGAATACAGACGAATACAAGAATCGAAAGCTTCTTCCAATTAAGTGAAACAACCCCCGAAGGAATGATATTGAGTTAAAAACTAATCAGCTGAACTCTTAAACTTAATTACACCTTGTTGTTACAATTGCATTCCTTCTCGTAATTACTAACTGAACCAGCAGTAACACTATAAAATTTCTACTTTATCTGACGAAAATGACTTTTATGTTGAAAAGAAAATGACTTTTATGTTTTTATTGTAACACTAGCTTTTGCCTGCGGCTTCGCCCGCGTGGAATTGTGTCTGTCACAGAAAAACTTTATCGCGCGCGTCCCTGTTTCAAAAATCGGGATAAAAACTATCCTATGTCCTTTTCCGGGACTCAAACTATATCTATGCCAAATTTCATCAAATCAGTTCAGTGGTTTAGGGATGAAAACAAGACAGACAGACAGAGTTACTTTCGCATTTATAATATTAAGTATATGTAGTATAGATATAGATTGGTCTCTAGCTCTGGCATAGAAACAACAATACTCCTCGCGATCTGTACCTGCCTTTATTGTGGTATTGGTCCCAACTAAATCTTTTCCAATTACTTCTGTCTGTATTGGCTCCGACGGACCCCAGACAGGGGTCTGACAAAACGATGATATGTTACAAAAGGCATGTCGAAGTCGGGAACTTGAACAATGAGTATTTTCTTTTAACATTATAAATGGCTCTAACGTTTATTTGAAATGTTTACCTCCAAATACAAGAGTAGTTTTTATCCTAATTGGACTTAATCTTAACTTAAACAATCATTTATTAAGTCATGAGTAGACCAAATAAGTAGGTACAAAATTTTTTGGTTAAGAAAGATTTAGATATTTTTGGTGATTAGAAAAATACGCACATAAAACCTCTTTTGTAGGTAACTGTATATTTCACTTTTTCCATGAAGAGAGCCATATAATAGGTGCTAGGTATCATCCATCTTAAAGGTGTAATATCGAGAAACGAAACGATATATCGTACTCAAAACTAGAACAGCCTATCTCAAGAACCACGGTGATTTGAAATTGTCCCACGTTATAATCTGAGGATATAATATCTCACCAACAATTCAAACTAAGACCCAGTTTTAATTGTACGCAACACCCACAAATACTAGCGGGCATAATCCGGACAGAGCCGGGCATGTTTTGGGTCGAGTTTAATTCCCGGGCCCAATCAGCGGCCGTCCGGGCCTGTCCGGGTTGTCCTGGGGCAGTTTGTAAACCAAATGTCGATCGGGCGGGCCAAATTAATTGTTGGGCCCGAATAGCGCCGGAGTGACCTCGGTGAAACGGATTTGGGTTGGACGCTTACGCGGGCCGATGGGCCAGCTGGGAAAAATGCCACTCATTCGTCAATTCTCGACTTGTGCCTACAGGATTATGTTAAATCCTTATGAAAATACTGAAAAAATAGAACTGTCCGATTTATTTTTAACTAAAGAAATGTAAGTACGTCTGGAAAATTACTTATTTGTAAGATAAACTAAGATGTGTTTTTAATCTTAATCAGCACTGGAACGCTAAACTTTACTGGTTACTAATCCTTGTAATTTCTTGTAAGTCCTAACGTGGAATGCCAGTTTGTCAAGTCGTTAGTAGTAGGTACATCAATAACTTAGTTGACGCATAATAACAGTTTGATTAATGGCGACAATAATGAGGCAGATGCAGAATGATAGCTAATTATTGACATGATGGCATTTGTGATTCTGGTTTATTCATAGATTTTAATTAAAATAACGGACGCAAAAGAGTTCGCTATGGTACTATTATAGTATACAATATCGAATAACCTATCTATCAAATTAACGTTTTCTGAATAATTTTGTTATGGTCTCAACACTCTCAACTACCCTGGAAGATGCCTAAGGCAAAACAGTTATCGATAGCCACCTACGGTTTAAAGGCCTGTTCAGACCTAAGCGGTATTCGCTACCGTCTGCGGCAGAGAAAACCCAGTGGGTATGCGGTAATAATACTGTTCAGACCTAAGCGGTATTGCCGCGGTACTTGATACTAAATACCTGAACGAAACCCGCGTGGTATGTTTGTACATCTACCCACAGCGGCAGCGAATATCGCTCAGGTGGCTCTAGCCGCGATACTTGATACTAAATACCTGAGCGAAACCCGCGCGGTATGTAGCTCTACCCACAGCGGCAGCGAATATCGCTCAGGTTTGAATAGGCCTTAACACAGCCGGTAGTGACCGGTAAAGTGTGTTTTATAAGGTCAAGTCTCCTTTCTCCCGAGGTCTACTTGTTCCTTAAAGGAACTATTGGAATGGAACCGCAACAAAATCAATCCAAAGATAGGTAATAGGAAAAGTTCGGAGCTGAGGATTGATTGCGACGTGAAGACGGCATCAGAAGAGTATTTTCAACGCACAAGCCTCAAGACTAACCTATCTTCTCCTCCCCAGGAGCAATCCGCGGGATCATAGTGGAGCCGGCGTCGCGGCGGCTGGAGCCGGTGGAGGCGTTCTGGGGGGTGCCGTACGCGGGGCGCCCCCCGCGGCTTGGGGCCCCCCCGCCCCCGCCCGCCTGGTCCGGCACGCGGCTGGCAGATGCGTACGCGCCGGTCTGCCCGCAGCGCTACCCGGACATATCCAACAAGTAAGTGGAAGATCGAATCAGAATTGAGAAGATCCGTAAATGAACTAAAGTCGCTGACATAGCCAGACGGATTAGCAAGCTAAAGTGGCAATGGATGGGTTCTGGAGTGGAGGTCACGTACCGGAAAACGCAGCGTGGGACGTCCACCCACAAGGTGGACCGACGACCTGATAGAGGTAGCAGGAAGGCGCGGATGCAGGATGCAGGAGAATGGAAGTCATTGGGGGGGCCTATGTTCAGCAGTGTGGACGTCCTGTGGCTGAAATTATGATGAAGTAGAACTACAAAACTCTTGGGCAAAATTAATGTAAGGTACAAGTTGTATGACTGGTATTTTAGCAACTGCTTAAACAGCAAATGTCGCCTAGCAAGTGAAAGGTTACAGACTCGCACTTGAAGGCAAGAGTTCGTGGCCTACTGCAGGCACCAACAACCAGTGGCCGCGACTCACTGGTTTCTATTCTATGAAATATCTTCAGAAATTAAAATGGAGTTCGCCGGAAGTACCTGGGTACGGGTATCGCAGGACTGGTCGTTATAGAAATCCTTGGAAAAGGCCTTTTTATAGGAGTTGACGTCGTTTGGCGGAAACAGAACCTTCAGACAATTCAAAGAAATACATAGAAACCAGTAGTGTCGCAACGATACGCCATCTGCTGCATGACTCACATAATATGAAATCGCATCTATAAAGTATCACCTGAGTTAGTCAATTTTTTCCTGTAAAAAGACCTCAGTTTGCTACCAATTATAAACTTAAATCTGTTACGCAAAAACCTAATTTTTAAACTGAAACAGCCACAGCCCAAGTTGGATATTGTTGCGATCCCAATTTAGCAAAGCAGAGCCCCCTAAACAGAAGCATTTCAAACTAAACTCTAACTACGTCCCCAATTATAAAGTTATCTCACACGAGATTGACATTTGTTTTGGAATTGCGTCTTAAGTGTACCCAGATGTGGTGTAACCCTTTGAAGTGTAACTCCATTACAGGCTTGATTCATCCGAAACCGTCCAGATGTTTGCCCGCTCCGGCCGGGCTGGTAATCTATTGATGATTCTGTAATTCAATTACATAACCCTTAACTATGAGATACGGACAACAATCTGGAGTCACGTATTGGGTACGATCCGAAAAGATTAATTTGATCTGCTTGAAATTAGCCTAAGCTGAAATTGAGAATCTATGTATTTACATAAACTCTTGATTTAAATATCTATAGATTGAACGATCCTTTACGCGTAATATTAGCGATAAAAAGTCTGGAATATCTTAGTACAGTCAGCGTCAAATAGACTGTCACACCTAAGTAGTCAAAAATTCGGAACGCAATATTGTGCAGATTGATCTATCAACTTTTTGGTCACATTAATAAATAATAATAAATAATAAATATCCCTGAACATTTTACACTGCGCTTCTAGTCCCAAACTAATCTAAGCTTGTACTATGGGTACTATACAACGGATATAAACAAACTTAAATATTTTTTTTTGTAAATACATACTTATTATACATAGAAAACATCCAGTCCAATACAAACAAATATGTTCATGCACACAAATGTTTGTACTGTGCGGGAATCGAACCCGCTACCTCCGGAATAGTAGTCCGTTTCGAACCACTACACCAAACGGCCGACCAAGGCGTTCGGTGTTACGAACTATTTGATACTGACTGTACCTTACTATGATATTTTATGATGTTAATAGCATGAGCGTTTTCCAGGAGTGCAGCGCTATCGAAGATGCCCCTAGGACTGTACAACGAGCTCAAAGCCACTGTCCCCTTCCTGGCCAACCAGAGCGAAGACTGCCTGTACCTCAACATCTATGTGCCCGGTAGCGGTAAGTACACAATAACAGCACTTATTACAAACTACATAAAGAAAGAAAGAAAAAGAAAAGAAAGGAAAATTATATATTTGACAACTAATAAAAAAAAAGTACAAAAACAATGAAGAGAAAAGAGAAAAAAAATGTTGCCAAAGAGACCACCCACTCAGTATCATCTTGACAGTTGACATTTTACTGCCAAGTGCCAAGACACTGGTTTTCAGAGGACATAAGATACCAGAGTAACTTGTGTGCCGTTGTGCGTACATTTTTGTTTTGAGCGTCCCTCTCTCGAAATGGAAGCTTCTCCTGCTTTACAATAATTGACGGGCATGAGTCTCCTTGCTAATTTTATTTGAATAACATTTGAATTATGAGACATTGAAGCTTAATTTCCCATCTTTTGTTTATGCTTTGCTTTGAAAGAAAATAAATATTGTATTTCGTTTTCTAAGGCACTTATGGTAATTTAAGAGATGAACATCATTCACAAATTCTGAGAAAACCTTATAAGTAGAGAGGAGCATTAAATATTACCGGGAAGTTATCAATTATTGGAAAAGTACTTTCTTATTTGCTGTCGGAAAGGTGAAATAATGGTTTTCATAATAATTTATTACCATTGGCAAAAATAAAATAACATTATTTACGTCTCTATTCAATGTTTTTTAACGAAAATTAATTATACCAAACATTTTATAAATAATTTCCTATTTAGAAAGTAATTTCGAACAACTTCGTAAATAATATAATGGCTGGTGTTAACTTTCAGTAAATTAAATTTTCCTATTTAAGAATTTTTCCTCACGTTGAGTTTTCCTCATTATAATTATTCCGACTGTTGTGCGCGTCGTATGTTAGAAATATAATTACTGCCAAATTACGAAAAACAAAAGATTAAATTGTTTACATAAGTTAATTCATGTCCATTCAAAATTTTACGTCAAATTAATGACAACATTATTTTCCATTAGTAGGTATTGTTCTACTCGTTCAGATGTTTCTACTTCCTTATTTATTAGAAAACTAGCTTTCCGCCCGCGGCTTCGCCCGCGTGGAATTTTGTCTGTCACAGAAAAACTTTATCGCGCGCGTCCCTGTTTCAAAAACCGGGATAAAAACTATCCTATGTTCTTTCCCGGGACTCAAACTATCTCTATGCCAAATTTCATCAAAATCGGTTGCGAGGTTTAAGCGGGAAAGCGTAACAGACAGACAGACAGACAGACAGACAGACAGACAGACAGACAGGCAGACAGAGTTACTTTCGCATTTATAATATTAGTTGGGATAATGCTCAAAGCTCGATTTGATCTCTGTCTTAGCATAAGTGACGGTACTACCAAAGTTCAGTCCTGTAGAGTGGCTGCCACGAGTGGTAGTGGCCATCTCTAGTGGTCGGTGGCTTGTGCAATGTGTAATAGATTTTTATCGAGTGCCATTCACGAAGACGCGCCTTACCAATTTTTAGTCGTGGGAAACGCGGGAATTTGATCCGAGCAATCCGAGCGTCATCATTGTAGTCTGCGTGTGCCATCATGGATAATTTAGCGTGTACCGATAACACTCAAACATTAGCGGAAGAATGGTGGGCGCGTCTTTGTGGATGGCACTATCTATAAGCTTGAAATTTAATGGAGTTGTGAGCTTCGTTTTCTAATACGCACCTAAAAGCCTTATTTAAAAAAAATGTATACTTAGGCGCGCGCGGCGTGGAGGCGCCCTACGCGGTGGTGGTGTGGGCGGGCGGCGCGTCGCACGAGTGGGGCTCCGGCAACGCGCTGGACGGCGCCGTGCTGGCCGCGCGCGCGCACCTGCTCGTCGTCACCCTCAACCATAGGCTAGGACTGTTAGGTACGCCCTACTGCACGACCAGGCGGCTGGGGGCGCCCTACGCGTGGTGCGAGCACGAGTGGGGCTCCGGCAACGCGCTGGACGGCGCCGTGCTGGCCGCGCGCGCGCACCTGCTCGTCGTCACCCTCAACCATAGGCTAGGATTATTAGGTATGGATTAGTATTGTGTACCCTTTTAACACCAGCAGATGTTGACAAGGTAAGCGCATGCTTTACTCAGGTTTGTCATTTATTCTGTTGTGTAGGTTGCAAGAACTGAGGTCATAACTCAGATTTATTTCAGAAAATTTTATGATCCAGGCATATTTCTGTTTTATTTTATTGACTTAGCATCCTTCTGAAGCACGAAATCGCAATTTTCTTCAACAATTCAAACTTGTGATATCTTCATCAGCTGAAAAAGTAGGAATTGAACCCAAAAGGGATAGATTGGCTGACAATAGTGACTGAGTTTCTTGCGCTGCTTCTTCTCAGCACTGGCCCATTTATTGTCCTGAAGCAGTGGTAGGGTTAATACTGGGACGTGTAAAAGTGCTTTTTTAAGCCTATTTACAGAAATAAATGAGTTTTAATGAGTTTTTTAATTACAACACGCTATTTCAAGGAAAATCACTGTGTAGTTTTTCGGAGAGTTAGAAAAAGGTAGCAAATAGGAAAATTCTGAAGCCTCTTAATTTCCCCTTGCGGTGCAATGACTTTATGAATGTTCAACCAATTGTTTCTCTCAGGTTACTTAACGCCCGGCTCCCGCTCGGACCCGGCGCATCGCGCGGGGGGAGCCGCGGCTCTGGACGCCATCGCCGCGCTGGCGTGGGTTCAACGCAACGTGGCCGCCTTCGGGGGCGACCCGCGCCGCGTCACGCTGGCGGGGCACGCCGCCGGCGCCGCGCTGGCCAACGCGCTGCTCATGATGCCAGAGACCAAAGGTAGCCTTTTTTTTACGGGGAAAAAATGCGTTGAATCCTACACATAACCTACCCTGTCCCCGCAGGGTAGGTTATGTGGGGCTCACCAAGTCAGAAGGACGAGGCATACCCACTAAAAAGACCCCGGTGCTCCGTCAGTCGCCATAAGTGGAGGAGACTGTGGGTTTCCGGACAAAGCCTTCTCTACCACAGCCCCTCCCGGCGATTGCCCGCCTACGCGGCGGGCCCTACAAGCCCCCCAGGACGGGGGGCGACAGGAACAACTGGAAGCACACAGCTGTTCCCCTCCGACGGTGACCAAAGGTAGCCTGCACCAACTGTATGCCTTAGGTTACATTAGACGCCGCGTCACGCTGGCGGGGCACGCCGCCGGCACCGCGCTTGCCAACGCGCTGCTCATGATGCCCGAGACCAAAGGTGCCTGCACCATATACCTTAGGTTACATTAGACGCCATCGCCGCGCTGGCGTGGTTGCAACGGCTGCCTTCGGGGCGACCCGCGCCGCGTCACGCTGGAGGGGCACGCCGCCGGCGCCGCGCTGGCCAACGCGCTGCTCACGATGCCCGAGACCAAAGATAGCCTGCACCAACTGTATCTTAGGTTACATTAGACGCCGTCGCCGCGCTGGCGTGGGTTCAACGCAACGTGGCCGCCTTCGGGGGAGACCCGCGCCGCGTCACGCTGGCGGGGCACGCCGCCGGCGCCGCGCTGGCCAACGCGCTGCTCATGATGCCGGAGACCAAAGGTAGCCTTTTTTTTACGGGGAAAAAATGCGTTGAATTGCATACCTTCTTATGTTCTTTCGTTATGTGGGGCTCACCAAGTCAGAAGGACGAGGCATACCCACTAAAAAGACCCCGGTGCTCCGTCACTCGCCATAAGTGGGAGGAGACTGTGGGTTTCCGGACAAAGCCTTCTCTACCACAGCCCCTACCACAGGCGATTGCCCGCCTACGCGGCGGGCCCTACAAGCCCCCCAGGACGGGGGGCGACAGGAACAGCTGGAAGCACACAGCTGTTCCCGTCCGACGGTGACCAAAGGTAGCCTGCACCAACTGTATACCTTAGGTTACATTAGACGCCGCGTCACGCAGCCGGGGCACGCCGCCGGCACCGCGCTTGCCAACGCGCTGCTCATGATGCCCGAGACCAAAGTTAGACTGCCATCTGTATAAACAAGTAATTGCTTGGGTAATATTATGAGGATCATTATTAACTATTGTACCTAGTCCTCATCTGAACGTGGGCCTCCTCTAAGAAACGCCAATGTGCATGTGGCGCACATTAACAATTGAGGTCGTCAGCCTCTGTCTCTGCACAATCTTCCTACTCCCTCTTTCTTCAAGCTGTAGACCCTGGCTACACAGGAGTTGCAGTGGTGGCAACGAGAAGTGGGAATAGTCCCGTACTCCACCTTTCTTCGATTCTGTAGAAAATATTATGATAGGAACAATAATTGCGTCAATATTTACTGATCCCTATTTTAAAAGACGCCACTGGACGTGTTGAATGCTCTTATTCGACGGTACCCTGACTACCTATTTACAAAATGATGATAGAACCGAGTTATACGAGTTTTGATACCCCGGTATTGTACCAGGTCTGGTGTCACGAGTGCTCCTGCTGAGTGGCTCCGCGCTAAGTCCGACGGCACTGGCGCCCGACGCAGCCCTGGCGCGAGACCACGCGGCGCAGGCACTGCGGTGCACGCCAGACGGAGCCACTACCGACGACTGGTAAGTTTGTGTACCATAGCATTCTTACTTTTCAGTCCATTTGATTGTTAATTTATCATTAGATGAAGGTACGAGTACACAGAACTTTGTATTTATTGTTTTGTGTCCCATTGGTCCCAGTGGTTCCATTATAGACAGTAATGCTTAATCACACCAACGCGTGCAGATCGCCAGCGCCGGCGCGATCATAGGGAAATGACAGGTCGCGTGAACTGTCATGGGTCGCACGACCTGGCATTGGCCTTTGATCGTGCGTTGGAGTGGTTGAAGCTTAAGCCTTCCATCGGGGAGCTGGTTCCAATTCATGACGCCTCATGTGACTCTTTAACACTATAAGACTTTCCTAGTTTTATCATAAGAGTCCTGCTAAAACAATATTTCCCCAACCAGGTTACTAGAATGCATCCGCGCTAGGCCGCTCGCTGCATTACTAGCAGTCGAAGCGCCTCGAGCCCGCTTCCTAGCGGGCTGGGCACCGTCGGTGCCTCTACGGGACGCGCAGGCGCAGCCGCCGACGCGCGCGCTGCACGCCAGCGACGCCTTCCTCGACTGCGCGCTGGCGGTGGTGGTAGCTACTACCGAGAGCTACCAGTTCTTTAGTGAAGACGATATTAGACACGGATTTGAGGAGGAACACAGGTGAGCCTGTTTTCCTGTTTGTATGTCTAACTTTTAAAGTTAACGCCTTATAAATAACTGGGCAATGTTTTTTTTTTCAGCAATACCGCTAAATACTCATCATTAACTAGTTTTAAAAAATCAGATGTTTCTTTTTTTCTTGGCTCTCGCGGTTTTGCGTTTAGCCACAAAGGAAAATGTTTCTTTACATTTTTATAGGGGCGCTTACTATACTTATACAGCTTTAAATTAACCTTTTCACTGCCACAGAATTTCATAACTATTTTAGCATTAGGTATGACCCTCCAAATTCACAAAAAATTCAAATTTTTACTCCACCCAGGAATCGAATCCTCCGTACATACGTCCGCAACGTGTACCGGTACCACCGCAACGAGATTTTCGCGGCCATCCGCAACGAGTACACGGACTGGGAGAAGCCCATCCAGCACCCCATCAACATCCGTGACGCCACACTGGAGTCACTGAGTGACGCCGCTGTGGCCGCGCCCGCGTTGAGGGTAGCCCAGCTGCACGCCAGGAGAGGGGCCAAGACATACTTCGCACACTTTGCGCATCAAAGCAGAGACGCTGACTATCCTCAGGTAAGAACACTGCACGATAGATCTTCTTAGGAGGAAAGTACAATATACGCCATCAACATTCCTGACGCCACGCTGGAGTCACTTAGTGACGCAGCTGTGGTCGGGCCCGCTTTGAGGGTACATGCAAGCAGAGGGGCTAAGACGTACTTCGCCCACTTCGCGCATCAGAGCAGAGATGCTGACTATCCCCAGGTAAGAACATCACGATGGATCTTAGTAAGGAACTGTACTTCATCAATATCCGCGACGCTACGCTGGAGTCACTCAGCGACGCAGCTGTGGCCGCTTCCGCTTTGAGGGTAGCCCAGCTACATGCGAGAAGAGGGGCCAAGACGTATTTTGCACACTTCGCGCATCAGAGCAGGGATGCTGACTATCCTCAGGTAAGAACACTGCACGATGGATCTTCTTAGGAGGAAAGTACAATATACGCCATCAACATTCGTGACGCCACGCTAGAGTCACTTAGTGACGCAGCTGTGGTCGGGCCCGCTTTGAGGGTGGCCCAGATACATGCAAAGAGAGGGGCTAAGACATACTTCGCACACTTCGCGCATCAGAGTAGAGATTCTGACTATCCTCAGGTAAAAACACTTCACGATGGATCTTCTAAGGAAGGAACATTATACCGCATCAATATCCGCGATGCCACGCTGGAGTCATTAAGTGATGCCGCTGTGGCCGCACCTACTTTGACAGTGGCCCAGCTGTACGCAAGAAGAGGAGCCAAAAGGTGTTAGAACATCACTATTGATCTTTTAGGAATGGAAAAATCCATCAATATCCAAAGGCACACGTTTTATTGCACAATAAATAAACCTATTGCAACTATTGCTTCTGATACCAACTGAATTACTTGAAAAAAGTCCTGCACTTCCGATCCAATAGTGGTGTAGACAAAAAGCTATCGGCATTTGTATTCCAAACAAAGTCAGGAACATGCAATATCCCGCTCGACCAATGGACCTCCTATTTTGGCGTTACACTAAAAATTGAACTCGTTTCCAAACTAGCGCCATTAATATCTCGGTATCGAATTGTCCATGGAGTTCGTGGCGTCCGGTGCCCATTCGCGGCGTCTGACTGCTATTACACCGTAAACATTTCGACGGTTTTCCAGTAGATAGAGACTGCGATGCTTGGAATTTGTCTGTCTGTCATCTTTTTAGTGACCTGTTAATGCATACCTACTACATTTTACAATTCTATTTTTACTGTATTTTCCTTCCCCATTCAATTGTTTTCATACAGAAAGTTTCTTATTGTCCTTCTCTGCCGAAGGTACAGACAGCGTCAAATAGTCACGTGACATCCAAAGTGGCTATAAAGTTGACAACACAATCTTGTTCCAATAGTAACTTCCTGGCTACTTTGGGTGTCACGAACTATTTGACTGTAATACTGACATACATCACTGAGGGCGTGAAATTGTAACTAACAAGTCCTTTATTAATAAGACCAATATAGATTTCCCCGAAGTAGTTCATATCAACTTGTCGTCATTCGAGAGGCATGAATAGCCCTCGGCTTGATCGAGAGATATCGAAGTCGGCTCATTGACTTCGCACCGAGTTGTTATTTCACACAATGGATTTTTGTATATTGTATAATAGCGTCCGAGTTCAAACATTTTCAGACTAATTAACAAAAGTGGCTAACAAGCGCGATACCTACTTCTTGGGCCCTTTTATCTCTCATTAGATGAACAAACGCCTCATTAAGTTAAATTAATAAAGCAGATATTACAAATTAATCTGCCCCTCTGTTTCCTCTACTTTATTTTATGATATAATAAAATTAGCACGAGATTTCAAAGTCTGAGTTTGTTATTTTACTTATTTTGTGCTATTGATTTTGAATGAGATTAGGCATCAACATAATCTAAATACAGTAAGGCTGAGCACCACCCAACTTTGACCGTGACTATAACGATAACCGGTATTTTTTGTATGGAGTATGACAGATTTTTGACGTTTGTCAAAGTTAAAGTAAGATGGTGCAACCCAGCCTAAGACTACTCGAATTAAATACAGGAAGGTAGGTTTGTTTAGTTCCTTTGTTTCTATTCTAGTCTCGATGATAGTCAGCCTCATTTCTTTCCAAGATTGCTTATTACTATTGGCACAGATCGTAAGATAACTTTTGCGCTGACAAAGTATTATCTAGATAGGGTTGAATAAATGAGCTTTTCATGCGAATTACGTAACTGGAAAGTTTGTCCACACTCCGCCCACATACGATTGGATATCTTTAACAGACCACGAAATCTTCTAAGAATTTATCTAAGTTTAGAGCTCGCAATGAAATTGTTTGTACAAATGCTGTGTGGGTCGTCCACCCACATAGGTGCGCACTTATTAAGCTTGCAGGCTGCTACAAACTGGTCAATCTGCAATTCATTGGGGGAGGGCCTACATTCAGTACAGTCGCCGTCAGATATATTGGAGCAGACAAAGTGGCCAAATACTATACCATACTATTTATAATTTTAATAAATTTAGAGATAAGCTTGTCTTTGTTATTGAAGAAATGTTATTATTGTATTGAGGATTATTGAAATGATAAAAGGTAGGTATATATAATTTTGTTAAATGCTCCCTTAAAGCTTTATACTGTGTTGTATAATTTGTGATTTTATATTGGTTGATGTTTTTAATTTTTATATTTTTTGTAATTTCCAATACGATAATGTTATTGTTTATGGAATAAATGACTATGACTATGGCTATGGCTATGGCTATGGCTATGGCTATGGCTATGGCTATGGCTATGGCTATGGCTATGGCTATGGCTATGGCTATGGCTATGGCTATGGCTATGGCTATGGCTATGGCTATGGCTATGACTATGACTATGACTATGACTGTACACTACAAGTTACCATTAATATCTGAACATTCAATACTTCATTAATATCTGAGCAGATGCTAGTCAATAACTTCTGTAAGTACACACAACTAACCAATAATTATTATTATCTGAACACTCATAACGTCAAGTGTATCTCCCAACAGCGCCTAGGCAGCGTGTCCAGCGAGACCCTGCCCTACTTCCTCGGCCTGCCCCTAGTGGGTGGCTCGGCGGCCGCTCCTCGCAACTACTCGCGCGGAGACGTGGCGGTGGCCGAGGCGGCGGTGGCGCTGCTGGCCGCCTTCGCCAAGACCGCTGACCCCACGCCGACGGCGGACGAGCGACATCACGACTCCTGGCCTAGATACGAGCTGAACACTCAGCAGTATCTTAGCATAAGTGAGTATTGGTCATGGTATTTAAAGCTTGGATGTTTTTTTAGCCAAATGTTATTATTAGGTGTGAGAGTAATTGTGTTGTGAAGACTTAAATTTTTTAACATAATGATAAACGACCACGCTGTGCTTGAGGGATAAGAGCTCAATCATCTGCATCACAGTACTGCATCGGGATAATAAGGGAGAAGCCACACGTAAACATTTTGCCGTATCACTGTACACATGGCATGGTATGCGGCGCCGCAACGGCACCGTCTCGCTCAATCGAAGTGCGGAATGTACCTGTGGTGTATGATATGCCGCCGGAACGCACCGTCTGGCATATCATTGATTTGCATATGCAGAACTCAGTAGCGGCACCGCTCCAGCGCCGCGCCGCGACCGCAACGCACCATGTGGCTTCTCCCTAAAGTAGACCAATGCTGAGATGAAGCAGCACAAGAAAGCAAAAATATCTGTAAAATCCAATCCCATCAAAAACAATACTTGTCAAAAAAACCAAGTCTCGCAACTCAGTTGTTCTACGGTAAAAAGTTGTGAGATCCATGTAATACCAAGTCCAGGCCAGGAAATCTTTAACGTTTTACATAAATATATTGACTTGGCCATCGCATGAAAACACGTGTAAATTAAATTATTTAGTGCGATGGCCAAGTCAATATATTTATGTAAAACGTTAAAGATTTCCTGGCCTGGACTTGGTATTACATGGATCTCACAACTTTTTACCGTAGAACAACTGAGTTGCGAGACTTGGTTTTTTTGACAAGTATTGTTTTTGATGGGATCTCATTTCTTTTTGTATTTTGTAGACAGCAGTTATGTATCTAGAAAACTGGACCGAAATTGAAAAATTTTACTCGACTTGGCGGTTGCACTACCGTGCCCCCAAATATTTTAGTTTTTCCTTGATTCATACACCAAACACTACTTATATTCCAAATTTGAAGCTTCTAGGTCTGCTAGAAGTGCCTTAGAATTTTGATGATCGGTGAGTCAGTCAGTGAGTCAGTGAGTCAGTGAGTGACAAAATTAAGTAAATTTGACCCGTTATAATTCTTAAACTACTGGTTCAAATTGAATGAAATTTTAAATATACCGTGTCTTTACAATGCCTGCATAGCTAATGAAAATTCAGCCTTCTAGTTTTATCCACAACGAAGTTACAGGCGGTCGAAAATGGCCTGAATTGCTTCGAGAAAAGGATGGTACGGCCGTGCCGCTTTTTTGCTCGACTTGGTGGGGGCACTACCGTGCCCCCAGATTTTCAAAACTGGGAAATATCTACCAAAATCCCAATTTTTTAAACCGAACTTCCCCAACACAGGTACAAAGCTGCGCGTGAAGAGCCACTACCGCGGGCACAAGATGGCGCTGTGGCTGCACCTGATCCCGCAGCTGCACCGGCCCGGCGCCGCGCCGCGCCACCACCAGTTCCGCTCCGTGCACCCCGACATGTTCGCAGGTCAGAATTGTCTTTTAGCTATAGCCTTAGCTTGTATTACCTTGTCTCGGTGAATAAATGATCTTTATCTTTATCTTTAGCCCCTTTATAATTTTAAACTTTCGCGTTCCAACTAAAATAGAAAGACACAGGCTCTTAACGCGACATTTATGACTTAGTTACACAAGCTTGACGTTTCGGCTGCTATGCTGCAGTCGTGGTCATAAGCAAACTGGCGGCTCGCGGCGTCGTCGTGTCTTTCAATTTTAGCCCCATTGCCATCATCAGGTCACTTATTATAGCTGGTACGAAGTAGCTAAAGTAGCACGTAACACGTTGCCTTTCCTCTGGTAGTTAACATCTTGAATAACTCGTCCCCACCATCTATCATCTCGCAGGACGGTCACCGGACTATAGTCTTCGCGATACAGGAACATGACCCTCTCCAATTGACTAGAGGCAAATGAAGGATTTGGACTACGCTCAATAATTCAAAGCCCAATTCCGCAAAACTGTTTACAAACACAGTTTATTCAGGATCTATAATACCTGTCAAATATCAGAAAATACCTGTTTGTATTATTATTATAAAGAGCTGTGGTTTTCTGAATAAAGAAAAATAAAAATAAAATCAAAGAAAGAAACTCTTTTTACCCCTACAACTTCTTTCAGAAGAATTAAGATTACGTTGAAATGTAATATCTATCTCCCTAAATGGTAATAAAACTTTTAATTTAATCTTCTTTTGAGCTATAACAACCCACTCTGAAGAAATAACTTCTCTCTCAATGCACCATGAAATTATATTTATTACAAAAGTCTCAACTACCTGATACAATAAACTGCGAAAGCCAGTGCAGTATCAGACAGGTAATAAACATCGGAACTTGAAGCAGTTATTGTTCCATAATTTTTCTACAACTAAGAAACATCAAACATTATTTCCCGAAGCTAACTTTTATTCGAAAACACCCACAAGCCTGTAATAAATTAACCCTAACTTAAAACAACATAAACTTAAGCGCAGGATTTTTTGTTCTCACAAGAAACTTTCCGACTGAGCGGAGTTTCGTGAACCCCTTTATTTTTGTTGCTGTTTGCTCCTGGCTGAATCACGTATCTTTTCGTAATTATTAAAATTCGATACAACAGGAGGGAAATGATGAGAAACCGCTTCGGAAAAACAAAGATTTTTCCGACGTTTTTATTTTTCCCAATGGAATAAAGAGCTTTGTTTTTGCGGCGTTCGTTTGTAATTTGATAAGTCGGAATCAGAATTATTGTTGTATGTTTCTTGGCATTTGAGACGTGTAAGACTTTTTCTGCTTTTTGAAGACATTGTCTTTGAGGGGCTCTGAAATCAAGCAAAGTGTAATGCTGACACAATTGTGGATTTATTGATACTTACAAGATATTCTCTTTTGTTTACTGCGTAATTTTATTTGATGGTCTTACGCTTTATCACAACAGAATTGTACGACACAGCTTTACAAGTTTAAAGGCAGGCGTGTAACCGCCTATTGGCGTAAACTGGCTTAAGGTCTAATTTATAAAAAGTTACGAAATGATCATGCCAACTTGTACTATTGGTACATATTATCGCAGGAGATTGATCGGATAGACGTTCAGTAGCAATCTAGCTAAATCGTGATTACTTTTCTAAAAAAAAACCTGGATTGCGAATTTTAAAATTTCGATTGCGATTCCTGATTCCCTTTTCAAAAAGTGTTTAACATTCATCGGCTCAGACCTCCTTAACACGTTTATGTAAACGAAATCTGAGAACTGTAGAGAGCTGGAATCGAGACGCTTAACGTCTACGCTCGAGTTTGAATTGAGCACGCTTGTTATCCGAGCCCATTAGGGCACCCCCTCTTCCCCTCGCATTCGTATACGGAACACTCTCATTAACCGCTTCCACTCCCCCTTCCTCCCCTAATAAATGTTCTGAAACACTATCTGAGGCGAAGGTCGGAGAGAAACGCCAGTCCATACGAATAAATCGTGCTCTTTGTATGCCGTTGTTGGTGGCATTAACCTGAATAACTCCATTTAGTTGTGACGCCTTGTTTTTAGTTTCAATATTTGATGCTGTCGCCAAACATAGGGTGTATTGTATCCAAGACTACAATTTGGAGATAAATACCTAATATGTATAGGTATGGTGCCAGTTAACTGAAGAAAAAAGAAGTAGGTAGGTTCAGATGCATATAAAAAATCATGATGTATCGTGAAGGACAAAATGGCCAGCTGAGTGGGATAATTCGGTTTCAACCCTCGAGTAAAAATGTTCAGACGGTAATGCTAAGTTTGCCTAACTTTTTTTTGCGGAAGAATTAACTTACTGTATTGTGATGGCTGTTCCTGCCGAGCTATCTCCGGGGTGAAACTTCGGGCCCATTGAATCACTTGAAATTATTACAATGCATACCAATTTAAATAAACTTTTGTCACGTGCCGAGGTTAATGGCTAGGAAGTAGGTATCCGCTTGCCAGTTTTAACGATGTGCTGAAAGCGTGAGCCGCATGCATTGGAGCAACTTTTTCACTGGGACGGGAAAGCAAATAAAAATAAATTGATGTGAATCGCGCAAACGCTCTAAAAAGTTTTGTGACGTGCTTACAGAAATTCGTACACGAATGGGAAAAAGGCCTAGTTTTCAGTCACTGGAAAAATAAGACTAAATAACGAGAAAAATTCTTGCTTCATTGTATCCTCAAAAGCTTGATTTTTCGTGTCCGCCCAAAGCAGCTGATTAAAAAACTGTTCCCTTGTTGGGTTATTATTACAACGGGTCGTCCTTTAGTCCGGTTAGCAAATTAATGAACGTGCCTTCAGAGACACGTAAACCCGGCTGATTAATGTATTGTTCCGCGGTTTAAAACGCTGAAGAAGGCGGCCATTACGAAACAGAATGAAGAGGATATGACAAATGTAATTGGCGAGACCCGTCCCGGTGTTACCGTCGGAAGGCGGCGTCGTTTGGCGGCCACATCAAAGATAATGAACAGCGCTTTGTGAGAGATCACAATTTTGGCTCAAACATCTCAAATTTGTCACTGTTTCAGTGACGGTTATTCACTGATGTATTATGAGGTTATTTTATCCATCATAAATGTTATAATTGCGACATTAATTTTACATTTTTGCTTGTTACATACCACGCAATTAAATCTTGTGAAATGCTAAAAAGATAGTCTGAGGCAGAGAGAAACCTAGTAAAATATTATGAAAAATATGAGTACAGTGACATATTCCTGTGTGTTACGTTGAATAGGATTTTGTCAAAGGTTTTGTAAACTATTCAACGAAAGACCGTAAGCTTCATAATCCTAAAATGATTTCTCGGAAACTGCTTGCTATAAAAACATTGTAGGATTACAAATCTTTTAAAGCTGTTTTATGTTTGTTTTTCCGACTAAACTGAATAGAACACTATTTTAGCGAAAGGTTTACAGTAACGAATCAAGAATTGCCCACTAGCGATTTCTGTACCTACCCATAAACATTAAGTGGTGACGCCTCTACTTAACACATACAAGATCGACAAACGCATTTGTATAGCTATTCATTAACAGGCTGTTGATCTGTCTACAGTCTACACTCTACACCAACCAAGTTGTCCCGATTACACGCAAACACGAAACACATTAGCAACAGCACTAACCGACCCATTTCCTTCGATTAATTCGATTGTTTGGTGTAAATTTTCAATTCGGGACGTATCCTGAAACTCTTCGATATGCAGGTGCGCGATTGTGTCCTGACAAAAGGGTCCCGGGTTTCGATTCCGGAGGGGGCATTGTGCGCGCGGCATTATCAGCGCCACAATACGCGCGCTACAAAGCTCTACTATTACAGGGCCAATTTCTGAGGCGTATTCCTGACACCTCGCTGTTATTGCCGGATGGTATACTACCAGATATCATAAACATCAGAGATCATTCAGTGAACTGCTCCTGAATCGAATTTACCTACTACTACTATTTCTATTTATTTATATTAACCGGCAGACAGTGGTGACTGAGTTTGTTGCGGCGCTTCTTCTCAGCACTTGCCAAATGTTGGTCTCGAAGCGCTGGTAGGGTAAAAAGATTATGAGACATGTAGAGGCTCCTTAAGAGCATATGACGATTTGTAAGAACTATTTATTAGTCTAAACAAATAAAGAAATTTTGACTTTGAAAACAAATTATGTTCAAGCACTCAGATTCTATATCTTGAGCCATGGTAAATCTTCTTGCTGAAGCTGAAACATAATGCGAGCATACCTACTGCAGATATTACATCCTAAAGATGCATCTGGACTATAAACAAGTTTTATAAGTTACACATGGACGAGTAACCAATAAGATGGTTTGTAACGTAATTTGGACCCCATTTGGACACACCCTAACATCAGAAAGAAAATGGGGTGATCGCGCCGAGATTACTACAATCAGAGATAGAATCTGCGCTCTCTGGCATTGTACTCTGGTACCAAACCGGCATAAAACATAATTAGGAACTTTTGTTTCTTACAACGGACATCGAGGCGTTCCCGCGATTACCGGCGGCTCCCTCAATCGGCTCCATTCTACCGCGGCCATTGTGCGCCGCTCCGCATACCTCATTATGGCGGAATCCAACCCGCGAACAATTAATAACGGCCCTAACCTACTACTGCGTTCCTTCAGGCCCATTATTGAAAATCATTAATCACTTTTTGCTATTTAGGTGCATCGTTTATAAGTTTTAACCTAATTTATCGATATAAAAAGTACGTACCTATTTACTTTTATGTATTAATATTATTATGTGGCACACTTCTACTTCAGGCTAATATGAAAAAAATGTTTGCTTACTGCTTACACAAAAAAGTGATCACCGAACGCTTTGATTAAGAGGAACAAATCGTTGTGTAAATTAAACAAACAATTTGCAGTGAGCTAAACTTATTTTGGTTATAGTTAATAGTAAGTTCGCTAGTCACTTTTTTGTGTAAGTAACCAAAAAAAATTATCAGACTGGATTTAAAAGTAATTTGGAAAATCATCTTTTACGAAGGGTTTAAACATCTGTCAAAACTGTCTGCTATCTGCAACACTGGCCAATAAGTTAGTTATAAACCAAATACTGCTACTACAAACCAGCCCTAACGCAATTATCAACTTCCCACTCGTCACAATCATTAAGAACCGCACCAAATGGGCTTCCCTGCAAACATGGCGGCGGCCGATAACAATCGTCCTCGGAGTTCTCAACTACGCTTCTTTCGGCACACATTGTTTCTGGAGTTTGAAGAGTTTCCGAGTTTGCCACAATGCCCAGGGTACACCGCACCGACCTTTGTGCCGAAGTTTGAGATAACGCCTTGCAAAATAAAACAGAAATATGCAGAAGGTCTGGTGATTCCACGTAATGAAAAGCAAATGATCATCTCAGCACCATAAAACTAGGTAGATATATTATCATAAAAAATGAACAGGAATCACAGAATAAGTAATAGTACCAAGGTACAGGAATATAAATATATTACAAGTTTTGTATCATTTCTGCACTAAGTAAGGTTTTTCATCTGGTTTTGCAGAATCTGCTTCATTCAGAGCTTGTCAATTTTCAAAAGTGTTCTGTCTGAGGTTGCCATTTTAGTCACTGGCAGGCTTCAATCAAACTGTATGTTGTGTAACACGGCAGTTGATGCAGTGCTCTGGAGCGCACGTCACATCACATAACTGTTTGTAGTGGTCACATACGTCAAAGTGAAGTCATCAATGCACCTGGGCTTTTGGATTTTAGTACACATTAGTAAGATATTATGTCCATGGTGTTTGGCGATGTGTAAAGTCACTAGGTATACCTCCACTGTGAACCCTTTCACTCTCTAAATCACAGTTCATTAACGACTTCGGAACTTTCAGGAATAAAATAAGCAAGCTATCCCTAAATCATTCCCCTATTCAGTTATCTTAACGGCTCCGCGGGTTTATGGCGCAGATCTCAAGATATCGGCAAGTTGGAGAATAAAATTTGCATTTTGGGTCATATCGAACGATTCTATACGCATTTACAGGGGAGGCGAAAATATGATCGCGGAAACAATGGCTTCGTCCCGAACATTTATACAAACAATTTAGATCTCTGTATCTGATTCCGCTACGTGAACGTATCCTGTATATTTTGTGGGTGCAAAAGCATACCTAGAGATAAAGTCTAACAAGTTTTAAATGAAATGAAATGAAATTGGGATGTAGGTACCTTCTTACAGATCCTTTTTAAGTCCAAAATAATAAAACTATGTTTTTTGGAATCAGTTGAGGAACAAGATTCAACCGTAATTAAAATTATAATGTATTAATTGAATCGACAATAATCGACCTATAATCAGTTTAGTATTTCCACGAATGCGTTCGCTAGGCACACCAAACATAGCTAAACAAATATTGTCAGTTTAATTACCGGACATAAACCAATTACGCGTTCACGGCGCCGTCCTAATAACGTAGTTAATTAAATTGATCGAACCTTATTGTTGCGTGTTTGATCTAATCAATTTGATATAATAAATGCCTCGAATTGTCACCTCCGATATGATTATCTTATAATCAATGATTTATTAAATTATGTTTGTACTAATGTCGATGTATCAATAAGTCATTTCGTAATAGGTATTGGTAATCTCTGTATGTTCGTTACGCTAAATTAGCCCATATTTTTCGCACAGACTACTAATAAAATAGTCCAACGCCACCCGGCTGTATGTATTCTGGCGACTAGATTACACTTTTATAAAGGCCCACGACTTCGGATATAAACGCTCGTGCTGATCCCATAAATTCTTCTCCAAATATTTATTATTGGCAATCAATCAACAAACAAAGCATTGTCCCAACGAAGGCTGGTCAGTCCAAAACCAGTAAACGAAGGCTGGTCAGTCCAGAACTTGCCTTGCCTATTTAAAGACCTAACCTTATTTCACATTGACAAAGTGATACTTATATTATGTAGTACTATGGATTTTGCCTTATTTTGCTTAACCTATCTGTCCTTTCCCAGGCGACATATTCCCGGAGCTGTACACGACTGCAGCGTCCCTGGACGAGGACGAGGATGGCTCGGAGCCTGAGGAGGAGGCGTCGGAGGCCGAGGAGTGCGAGCCCTCGCCCTCCCCGCGCCCCGCGCTGTCCGCGCTGCCCTCCCCGCAGCCCTCGCCCAAGGAGGACTCGCTCACCAACCTGGACTCGCAGTATTACAGGTACTGTGTCAGAACGTGAACAGGAGTAGTGCGTATTACAGGTACCGTGTCAGAATGAGGCGGAGGAGAGCAAGCTCTCTCGCTCTCCACACTGCCTTCTTAGCAGCCCTCTCCCAAGAAGGACTCGCTCACCAACCTGGACTCGCAGTATTACAAGTACCGTAGCAAAATGTGACCCGGAGTAGTGCGTATTACAGGTACCGTGTCAGAATGAGGCGGAGGAGAGCAAGCTCTCTCGCTCTCCACACTGCCTTCTTAGCAGCCCTCTCCCAAGAAGGACTCGCTCACCAACCTGGACTCGCAGTATTACAAGTACCGTAGCAAAATGTGACCCGGAGTAGTGCGTATTACAGGTACCGTGTCAGAATGAGGCGGAGGAGAGCAAGCTCTTTCGCTCTCCACACTGCCTTCTTAGCAGCCCTCTCCCAAGGAGGACTCGCTCACCAACCTGGACTCGCAGTATTACAAGTACCGTAGCAAAATGTGACCCGGAGTAGTGCGTATTACAGGTACCGTGTCACAATGTGAGTTGGAGGCGGAGTGCAAGCCCTCGCGCTCTCTACGCTGCCCTCGCCGCAGCCCTCGCCCAAGGAGGACTCGCTTACCAACTGGACTCGCAGTATTACAGGTTAGTTAGTTACCGTGTGTTACGTGTTACCAGTGATGACTTATGGCTCGGAAACGTGGCCTCTCACTATAGGCCTTATACAGAAGCTCAAAGTTACACAGCGTGCTATGGAGAGGTCTATGCTCGGTGTTTCTTTACGAGATCGAATCAGAAATGAGGAGATCCGTAAACGAACTAAAGTCGCTGACATAGCCCGACGGATTTGCAAGCTGAAGTAGCAATGGGCAGGGTACATAGTACGCAGAACTGACGACCGATGGGGCAGCAAGGTTCTGGAATGGAGACCGCGTACCGGAAAACCGCAGCGTGGGACGTCCACCCACAAGGTGGACCGATGACATCATAAAAGTAGCAGGGAAGCGCTGGACGCAGGCCGCTACCAATCGATCAACATGAAAAGCATTGGGGGAGGCCTATGTTTAGCAGTGGACGTCCTATGGCTGAAATGATGATGATGATGATGATGAAGGGCCGGAAGACATAGTATGGGCGGGCCCCAGGCCTGGATGCGGGCGGCGCAGGACCGGGCGTTTTGGAAATCCTTAGGGGAAACCTTTGACCAGACGTCCAGTCCAGTAATTTTCGCCCCCGCGCTCTCCGCGCTGCCCTCCCTGCAGCCTTCGCCCCAGGAGGACTCGCTCACCAAGCTGGACTCGCAGTACTACAGGTACCCTACCAGAACGTGAACAGGAGGAGTGCGAATTACAGATACCGTGTCAGAATGAGGCGGAGGAGTGGGAGCCCTCGCGCTCTTCACGCTGCCCTCGCCCAAGAAGGCCTCGCTCACCAACCTGGACTCGCAGTATTACAGGTACCGTACCAGAATGTGGCACATAGCTCGCAGAACTGATGGCCGCTGGGGCAAAAAAGTATTCGAATGGTGACCACGGGCCGGAAGACATAGTACCTATGGACAATGGACATTCAACATTTTGATAATACACAGATGCCACCGCAAAGTTATTTTGGTTGTGCTTGCCGTTACTTGTTTTGATACTGCCCAATGCCCAAGTCATATCAAAGTACATTATTAGGTTGGTTTATTTCACTGTCTATTTCACGCTTTCATGTCAGTCCATTGGCGTCCGTTTTCCTTGAAAAAAATCTCATATGTGAATAAATATGTTTGTGTAATGTAACTTTCACGATCGTTTCCGGCCCAAGCAAGCTTATTTCCAGGTAGCATTAAGGAAATACCCACCACATCTTAATTAGAGGCTTTTGCGCCCTCAACGAGGGTAAGTTCTTATATTGCGGGAAACCCAGCTTATAAAGGCGCCAAATGGATTCCAAGCGTACACCGCAAGTTTATAGAAAATACGCATTGCATCTCGTTAGCGGTAATACCTGACGGTAACGGTACGGTAAATAGTGTAACGTCGACGTTAAACGGTTATAACGTTGGCGTAGTTTACAAACAATTGAGCTAGAAAGAACAAGCTCATAATGCCTTTAAGCACTAAAATTATGAGAAGGTTAACTTCATAATTTTACTTGTTCTTATTTTCAAGCTAAACGACTATGTAATTTACCCTGCACACAAAGTACAAAGTTGTTCATTTTTGAAAATATTTGTATCGAGTTTTTGGAAATTAAGGATTGTATAGTCCAACTGGCTGTATCAATTGACGCAGCGATGCGACGTAGAGCTCCACTAAAAAGTATAAACTACAGCATGTAGTTCGGTAAATGAATGTGACCGATGCAGTTACCAATATGACTCCCAAATGTATGCCAATCGCATTGCAATACTATGTCACTAACGCGCGCGGTGTAATTAAAAACATTGTACAGTCACCCGCCAGCACAGACTATACATGCATGCATCATATAGCAAAATAGCATTTAACTATCACAGTTTTTAGTTTGATGTATCGTCGTCCCTAAGCCGTATATAAATGAGGCGATTTTTCAGTAAATATCAAATCAATCTTTTGTACGAGTATTATGTCATCGTGTTTTGTCTGAAAATGGCAACTAAGACCTAATTATGAGGGTTCACACGTCTCGTTTTAAATGGGCTCGTCTAGCTTTCAATGAAATACTCTGGCCCATTGACGCCAAGAATAACTAACTGCGTTTTTCTAACCTAAATCAAGATGCTAGATGCAAATAGCTTCAAATCCGCTAACAAATTACCAAGAAGATTTAACAATATTTGCTCTCATTCTATCGTATAGAGTCTATCTTTTTTGCCATATAAACGATTTAATTGTGAAGCCTCATGTAAAGTCCCGCTCTACGTTGAAGCGAGTCCCCGCGGTGTGCACTGAAACATTTTCGGTCGACATGTTTGTTTTTATTAGCCCGCCCGCTGACCAAATGATTGTTATTGGCAATCGTTTATTTAAGCTAGAATGAAGCGGTTTTGACAATAAATAAAACAGATACGTGCAAGTTCCACACATAATAGATATTTAGCTTTTGGAATTAAGTAGGTATGTTTCAAATCTATTGATTTAGGAAACTTTTCTTATTTTCCTTATATTTATCACTGAGCACTAATACAATGCCTTTTATGTGACAAATCACCAACCATCGCTCACCCACGTACAAGTATAGCGTACAATCAGATAAGTAGCGTTCAGATGTGACTTTTTCCGCTTCCCTAAATCGACTGGCGGGGGTGATCCGATTATCGCGCGCGACTGGTCGGCCGACTAGTCGCAGTCGGGCTGGTGTTGTCACTGGACCTTTGATTAACATAATAAACAGTCGGCCAGACGGTAACCATTTTTCTACCTAGCGGAAGATGTTTTCCTCTACAGTTGACTGTACATTTTTATTGCAAACCCACACCTATAGCAACATTTGCAACTACGTACTTGAGAGATGCTAAAATTTAAAACAGATTCGCTGTCTTTGGTAAAATGAACGTGAATGTAAACGCTTTTGCAATCATGGTGGTTCGTTGATACAGTTTTTTACAGAAAAATAATGCACCCAGTTGCGTGGGGTAATATTTCTATTTTGTGTAGGAATAACAATATGATTTATACGCAGCTATACTAGTAATATGTCACGTGTCATTCATTCACTTCAATTCTGCAAAGTGGCCCATCTGTCGTGACAGCTCAACAACAGCCGAATTCTTACACTACGCAAGTTAGTGACATATTTCAGTTTAACCTGCGACAAACCCGCGGATGTAATCCCACTAATGTGTTTACTACCTGCGTCGCTTTGTCTCGGAGTAATGCTGCCATTTCTCAGCGTTTTTTGGGAGTGTTCCTGGATGATAATAATAAGAGATGGCGCCAATTTTCCTACCGAATTAGCTGGACGCGATAAAACGAGTTATTTAGTGCTTGCGTTATGTTTGGGGATGTGCGCGGAATCCAGTCGGGGGCTTTGTTTGTTGATATGGCGCTTTTATACGACGATGTGTTTGGGAACACTATCGCGAAGTTATCAAGGATAGGGTGGCGCAATATTGTCTAACTAAAGTTTTAGTGCGGTATTGTCTACCAGAGAACACTGTCTTAGCTCTTACTAATCTCAAATTCAAATTACAACTCTTGGAAACGAAGATTTATCTATGCAAAAATTTAAATTTTTCCTGAACTTATTTTACCGATCCCCAAGATTTTCTTGTATATCTTATATTATCTTAATGGAGCAACACCGTCATTATTTAGGGGTACATTACAGCGTTCGCTCTGTTGTTTTGTTCCCGCTAATGGTGCACTTCCCGAATGTAGAAGCGTTTAAGAGAATTTCACCTTCCCGAAAGTTCTGTAAGCGATGCCGGAACTGGATCTAGCTCCCTTTCAAGTCCGCCAACTAAGTATTCTGGGCAATTCCTTTCTTGATCTACACACAATTCTACGGTTCACTTTGGAAGTTTAAATTGAAGTAAGATTTATTTTATCAAGTTCCGAAAGTTTAGCTAAAATTAAATCCAAGAGTCTTCAAGAGTTTAAAAATTAAGAGACATTTGACAAAAACCCGTATGACTTTTAGTTACAAACTTATGAAATGATTAGGCTACCTAAGTAAATTCCGACATACGTTACTTCGACATTACGTTACTCCGACACTACGTTTGTCGGAGTTCAGTTTTCGAGCCCTATGATTACTACTGGAAAAAGGCCTATGCCACTTGACTAGTTTCATACTTTTTCAGATCAGCTTGGTTCTATTTCTGCCTTGTTACAGTTACACCGTGGCGCTGGGAGTGACGGTGGGCGCGGGGTGCTTCCTCCTGGCTCTGAACGTGCTCGTGTTCGCCGGGATCTACCTCCAGAGGGGGCGGCGGAGGACTACTCATCGAAGGCCGAGGAGGGAAGGTAAGGTTGACCAAACAGATACTGCATAATATGAGCCCATGTAATTTGCGAGTGAACTTTAATAAAGTGTAAATGTACTAAAAGCCATTAACTTAGATTGTAGATTTAAGCCCAAAATCGAAGTGATTGGAAACCAGTTATAGGTTGAAGATTTGTTAAAGGAACAGGTTAGGTCGCACATTGAAAGTTGAGGCTAACACGTACTCGCACTTTGGGTACAGAACAAAAATAACACTTTACCTAGCTCCTGTTAAATGTGTATAAGCGAGATAGAAAATAAAAAATAACTTTTCAGTCCAACGTCCGGGCACAAGACGTCAGCAGCGCGGACAGCGTATACAGATACAAATCTTAGCCTATGTTGTTGGACCTTCAACTCTCGTTGCGCGATCTATAGCGCACATATTTTGTCAAAACAAAAGACGGTTAGACTTTTTAGAGGCACAGTCGCAGTTTTTAAATAGTCATTCGACTGTTAAACACTTTTGAAAAAGGAATTCGACATTCCAAAATAGCATCGTTCTTTTGTTTCGTAGGTAGCTGCAGCAGCAGGACCGGCACCGGGTCGCTGACCAGCGACCCGACCGCCGCGCTGTCGCCGCGGAAGAGCACCCTCAAGGTAACAATATCTTTCAAACGCACAGACAAGCCACGTCAAGGTAACCACTGTGGGTTCTTGTGCTGTTGTAATAGGGGCGAGTTTGCAAAAAAATTGGGTAGCCTGATGTGCTATCGTGTGTACAACTTGGCTTTCATTAGCAGCTTTCAGCCATTCATTACTCGACGTGCTGGGGACACAACTTTATAATTTAACTTCAACTTCTGCAACAACTATTTAACTTTATTTTGAATTTAAAGAGACAAAGTAAATTATCTTGCTATTATAATGTTTCTAAAGTTGTTTTGTATGCCAGTAAGCGGGATTCGGAATACTTTAGGTTAAAGTTCCACTTTATATCTTTGAACATAACAAATTAACGTCATTAAATAATAATACAATGCAAATGTATTCAGCTGAATCAGCAGTCGGTAGTCGGCGAGCTCGATGATATTAATATTAAATCCGATTCACTCATGATTCTGCGGGATATTTGATTATTACAGATACAGGTGCGCCGGCTGTTAAGTGGATGTAAATAATAAACTTATTTTAACGGCCAATTTATTCTGCGAACGGCTTATTTTATTATTATCTTTGATTACAGTTATTGTTGTGGCAAAATGGGCTTATTTATTGTGTTTTAAACAAATAATTTATTGATGTGCCTGGAGAATTAAATTATGAATATTATGTCTCCATTATTTTTAACAAACTTCATCAAAAATAAATCTCAAGAGAGCAGTAAAATTCCAATAAGATAAAGACAAAACATGTTTGTTTGTTTGTCAAAAATATCCAGTACCTAACATATAATCGGTTTCCACAGCGCAGCAGCGAGTCGGAATTAAAAGAGAGGCCGAGCAACGCACCACCTCCCGCAAAAAAGCGCGTCCAAATCCAAGAGATATCTGTCTAGATGACTTCTGAAGCTAGTTTTTAGAAAACACAAATATGGGGAGCCTTCTGGATATGGGATATTCATCGATGAAACAGATAATGTCCCGGTCCGACCCTTCGGGAAGTAGGCCAGTCGGCATCCGAGCAAGAATTTCAATAATTCATATGTAACTCGAAGTGACCCCTAAAACTAAACCACCCTAAGCGCTTTGATTCTGACATCAATCGTCTTCGAGTGTGATCCAGCTGGAATCTAACAGTGATTTGAAACTTTTAGAGTGAGAACTCAAACTTTCGTGTGAAAAACTGAAAGAGTGAAAAGTTTCCGTGTGGAAATTCATTCGACATTACCAATGTTTGAAAAACCTTTTTGATACTGAATTGAAAATTATGTCAAGTGCTCTAAACTCCTAAGTTTTGGATGCCATAAAATAACTTAATCCCAATCCGTTAAGTCGGACACAGCTGGCTTTGAATTTCTTCATTGGTGATGTCATGTGAATGAGAAAATTGTACTTAATTTTAACCGATATGCTATACCTATGTCTGTATAGGGAACAAGGGTTCGTATGTATCTACCTCCTGACCAATTAAAGGGCTTAATGTCTCATGTTGTTCTAGTTGTGTTTGTTAGTTTATCTGTTTTATATAATTATCTCTGTTTATATTTCAAGTTCGATCCACGCAGCTGCGACCATTCATGTCCGTATTATTTAATGATGGGCTCTATCAGGGGTCTACTTTGGGTCTCGTTTGTATAACAACGATTTCAATATTATATTTTCATTCCCATGCCAATGGAACAAACTTCAGGTAATTCCCCTATTCACAATATCAGCTATTGGCGAAACTTAGATTATGGGTATTAGAAACTTTGGGCAAAGTTTGATAAATGTTCCGTTGTCGGTTCGGTATTATCATGCTAAGCTTCCGTGGTTTTGAGGTGAGCGTTCCGTTAACTATAGCTTTTAGAAACTACGCCGTAATTCCTGAATTTTCTGAAACATCTCCAAAATCAATTAACGGTTAGAATGTTTTCAACTGCGAGGCCAAAACTTACTTGTTAGAAAAAATATACTTCTGTTTATATGGTATACATAGACTTAGTAAAATGTTAGCGAGTCCCTATTGTGTTTATGAAATCTTTATCTAATTTGTAAAATATCGTTATTTTAGTCCCTATGTAATATCAAATTCTATGTTATACAGATTCTCGATTTAATGTATGATATCGTATGACTTTGTATATACAGTTGGGTCTAGTTCTATTATTGTACATATTAGGTCGTCGTCAAATATCTGTCTAAACCGAGAGTTATCTCGTAAAAACGAGGTTTTTAATAAAAACCATTTTTTCCTGGTATGAAGAGGTTTTATTTCACATTGGGTCCCGTTTTATTTGTCTCATAAATTATGTTTATTATCTGCGTTTTGTGTGAATTTTAATAAATCCTTTCAAGTGAGATCAATAATTTAATGGCTTCTGCCATGATGCCATATAAAGATTAAAAAGAATTTAACTACAGAATTAAATTAGATGTCACTTTACAAGTTTAGTTACCTCCTCTTATTGGACAATCTAGGGAGTACAGACGTGCAGCAAATACGAAACGTGCTGCGAATATCTTCGCTCAAGTTGCAACTCGGCGTGCATGTACCGACCGTAGCACTCGCGCTGCAACGGATAACGCACATGCTGCACAAATATTTGAATCCAGTGGCCAAATAGAAAGCTTTTCAAACGGCTACGTGACTTAGACTTATTCCAGGAGCATAGCGTTAAAGACAAAAACACCAAAGATGAAAGAAATCATTAAAATGACTGAAGACAGCACAAATTAAACAACCTTGACTTTAACTTTCCCATAATTCCTAAAAATAATATGAATCCTTACAATATTTGAGGGTCGTGCAACAGACACCCGAAGCCTCCCCGTGCCTACCACTCAATTTTCAAATTTCCCCGAAACTTTTTAACGCGTGGAACTGAATTAACTATACCGCGGAGTTCGCAACGAAATTATGCTCATCTTTATTGTTCCATATTTCCCAAACATTCTCGGGGCGTCGCTTGTTCCAGTTATCTTTAATTCTTCAACTTCTTTCTTCGAAGTTTCGCGAGATAAAGTATCCTGGATTTTGATAAATAAGTACGCGAGCTTGATAAATTCCTCGTGAAGGGCAGATGGTGTGAAAGTTGATAAGGTTGTGCTTTGACCTAGTTTTTATGGATCTACGTGTTATAGTAACTTTGTTCAAGTGCAACTAATTCTGACTTAGAATTTATGTGACAGGGCTTTAATGCCAATGGAAAAAAAGAAGATCTAAAACTGTCATAACTTGAATAATTTGGAAAAATACCGAGTGTACCTACTTTGGTAATTAAGATGCGATTTGTAATATACTTCAGTGTCCTAATGATTGAGTAAAACACAGTGATAATATTATGTTTTCTAATTCCCATTATGTAATATCACAATAATCATTTAAAACATAAAAATCTGCGAGAACGGCGTGAAGAGGGTGGCACAGGGTTAATAAAACAAAAGGAATCATAATAGAAGTAAAAACAGGCGGACAGCCGATCCGCCAGCGGGCCAGAACAAAGGCGTTGAATATTCCGCGTTTAAAGTGAGCGCCGGTAATTTGCGAACGGACTATGAATAGTAGGGCGGGGCGAGACCATCAATCAGCCGCAGGGATGCGCGCGCTATCGATCTCTTATCGATGCAAATTAATTATTCAAATCTTTGCATAAATCTTGGGAAATGAATTCATGAGTTAACTATCAGAGATAATCATAAACGTTTTGCATCCTGCTCTTGATGGCATTCTTACAAAAACCATCATAACAAAGTATACTTTCCAATACAAAACGGTGTATTAACTCTTGATATTTTGTCCGTTTGTGGGTTAAAAAAATAATGATTGTGTCCGATTGGACGCTACTATGTACGTAAAATAAAGTAGAAAATAATGTTTAAATTGTTTTTGCAACAATAAGAGATAAGTAGTTAAAGTGCACATCGACTATCGATAAATTATCAAACAGTACCTACATCACTATAGCACCATTGACATCTAGCAGTGTCACGGGACTCGCGAGCGGCTGCTCCCAACGGCTTTCCCCATGAAAATGAGATATTGGTCGCCTCATCCGCGACGCGGCGCCTCGAGCTTGAAGAGGTAAGCGGTAATGTGATTTCACTTCCAATTTGCTTGAGGAAATTGATTATGTGGTTAAATAATAATCATAATTTCATAAAGAAGCTATTTTTTGTTTGTTTTTATTGCTACTCAGTAGAATGATAAATTTTTAGGTTCGAATTCATTTATGGTCAGTTTATGTCCATTTCGAAACACATTGTGCGAAGAATACAGGCAAATAATACCTACTCCACATTTTATGACGATGCTGCATGTTACAAGGCTTAATAAAATTGCTGGTATCTTTCCTTTTGTGGCTAAAAGCTCATGATTCAACAATACAGTGCATTGAGATGACTTGCACGTTAGCAAGTTCTGCTTGAATCATCTGAACCAATAAGAGCCGAGCATAAAACTTTAAAATCGAAACGCCAGGTGCTACCAGAATAAAATACAAAGCTTCTGCACCATTGTCAATAGGGTTTTGTTGAACCAAATATCTATAACGTATCGACGTGCGGCCAGCAGTGCTGCCGCTATTTACATACCCTTAACCTACATCTCCGCGACAAATGACCGCTTTGAAGCCCCGGCTCTGGCGGGGACTTCGCCCGGGTCATTTCCATGAGAAAGGCGCTGTGGGATTCCGGGATATTGTCGAGACGCAGTAACTTGGGAAACTTAGTTTAAAAAACTCATAATTTAATGGCATGAAGTATTAATATTACTAATGCCAAACATGTGAAACATTGTTTAGAACATATCGTAATGTATTTAATGTTTTTGGAACAGCCTTTATTGTAGGTACGCTGTACGCTGTGGAAGAGGCAATTTGCCTGATGAAAAAGAGTTCATTTTGCTTGTCACATCAAAAACTTGACAAGTTTTCAGAATTTTTTGCACAAAAATAACTCGTAAAAGCGTCACCTGAAAAATTTCCAATAAACCACAATGCCTGTTCTGATGAACCCATCAATCACGGCGTACAAAGTCGCGCATTTGCCAGCGAAATCACGGCAAATTCTTGACTACAGCGGCGAATGCTGACACAAACCGAGCAAACATTGTAGAAATACACAATCAAACGTCTGAAGGAGGGGAGTCCCCCACATGGAGGGGGTAACGGAATGCCCTTACTATAACTTTTTATTTTACAGACTCCCAGCTCTAAAACGTTTGGAGAGTTCATGTTTTTATTAGGAATATGCCGATTTCCCAGTTGCGTCATGAATGTTTCAATGCCTAATAATGTCCTTGTGTAGTAGCCGGTTGTCTTCAGATTTAAGTATACAATTTTATTTTAAGACCGAGGTTCTTTTACAGACTACAAAAAGAGGAGGTTTTCAATTCGACTATTCTTTTTTCCTATGTTTAAAACACAAATTAAATAGTAGTAATTTGACAATTGTTCCAGGCTAGTGTCAGGTATTCCAACCATCCAAATCTATTGTATCTATCGCCAGGTTATGTAAAGCAGATATTAGGGTAATCCCGGTATTAATGTGCGCCAGCTTACCGTAATCTACGTCTGCATAACTTAGCTGGATTCCTAGATCGGTGCCAATCTTCCTGATAAACGTTATTGCCGACCTGGCAGATATTTTGAGATATCGTAACCTCGTAGGCTTATAAAATGGTTCAAACAGGGATTTGATGTAACGTTTAGAATACTAAGTGGACTAAATTTTCTGTAATTATAGCTTACTAGCGGCCGCCCGCGACTTTGTACGCGTGGATCCCGTTTTACCCCTTTAGGGGTGGAGTTTCGTAAATCCTTTCTTAGCGGATGCCTACGTCATAACATCTACCTGCATGCCAAATTTCAGCCCGATTCGTTCAGTGGTTTGGACTTTGCGTTGATAGATCACTATGTCAGTCAGTCACCTTTGAGTTACATAATATTTAGACTTGGAAGAGGCCTTTGTCCAGCAGTGGACGTCTAAGTTACGTTATGATAGATAGTAAATTATATTTTACATTGAATAAAATTAAATTCCTTTTATATTTAAAATAATCTAATATCACTTTGATTCAAGCTTTCTTACAATAATTAAAGTGTTTGCCGACACTTTCTATGTCCCGTAATGAATGGAAACAGAACCCATATCATCTTCACTGAAACTCAACTGTCTTTCACTCACCCTGTAAATATGGCGTCATAATTTAGAGAAACAGAGCTGATATATCAAATTGGAGTTACGCAGTAGCCCCCTGAGCCTCGTTCCGACGCCCCTCCTAGTGATGTGCTCGTACCTGGACGACTCCTTTGGGTATTCAAGTATTTAAACACTCACTTTTTATGAAAAGAATCGCAAAAAGCACTCTATCATTTTATTCTAATAAATATTAAAATATTTATTTTGGCAATCTTGTTATCATAATGTATCTACATCAAAAATTTACGGTAATGAAAATGGATTGTTTTAGTTGTGTCTAGACAATATTATTAAATCCATTTCACAATATCCAAGGTTGGTTTCAACCTGTTCATTTCTTTAGATTATGAGTGTTGAAAGATAAGTCATTGTTCGGTTCTTTAGTAGGTAGGTAAAGTAATACGTTTTCATTTCTGACAATGGTTTCAATTAAGTACTTTACGTGAATTTGTATATAAGAACACTGCAAGTACACGGACACATAGTAAGTATAATAATCGAGTCACCAGTCGTTACATCACTACTGTGACTGTCACTCGAACTTTTCACTCGCTTTATTTGCTTTTAATTCATATTAAATTTGCGCCCGAGGCAGGGGCGCCTAATCCTGCCTGTCATTATAAAAGCGGCAGATCGAGTGGACAGAAGTGGGGGGTGGGGAAGGGGGGAGGGGCTCGGTAATCACCTGCGAAGACACTCGGTTTTTCAATTGCCTTTTTAATTTGTCATAAGTTGACACGAATTGATTTGGAAATCAGAAACGATTGGATATCGAATGCTAGAAATATTAATGTCCTTTCTTACATAATATTTTGAAGAGACTCATACTTAAAACACTCGGGGTGTTACTATGCAAGCTTCTATCGAACTTTAGTAGCCATCAGATATTTAAATTAAATAAAATGGAAAATAATATATTACACCAACGTAGGTAGAGAAGTGCCACAGAGTTGCACTCTTTCGATTTTCAATCGAAATATAACTACGAGCTTCAAAGGGCTTTTGAAGTCGAAATTGATAAACCTACCACGCGTTCCAATACAATACA